CAGGCATGCCTGAACTCCCTGCATTTTCCTTGCAGGCAACACACTAAACAGCCTGCTGCAGGAGGACTGCAGTTGCTAATACTGGGAGCATGGAGGAAAGCAGAAGGAGGGTCTGTCTTGGTGACTACAACATATAGTAGTACACAGACACTAAGGGAAGGTGGACTGGGCACTGCTCCGATCTAATGCATGGGCACAAGTTGCTGAGCAAGTTCAGGGATGGAGGGTAGTTTATAGAAGTGCATCTAAACCCCTTAAAGAAGAAGAGGAGGGGGAAGAGGAGAAAAAAAGGAAGACAGAAATAAAGAAAGATTTTAATAATAATGTGAATACCAAGAGCCGCAAAGGCTCAGCCTCCACTGCTAGGAATAATTTATGGCTGAGGAACTTAAGGCAGGAATGGAAAAATAACTAAAGCATGCTAGCTGTTTCTGCCCCATAGACTACATATTATTGTTTTCCTGAATCCAGTCTGTGTTCAGGAATGGTTCAGTTCTCCGTGTCTTTGATTACCCTACCATAACTACTGGCCTGGCATTCAGACATCTTTCAGGATATTTAGGGTACTGATTGATTTTGTTTTAAGCACTTTCATGAATTGTATTTTCCACTTAAATTCTGCTTTTATAAGTAAAATCCACTATATACTGGGGCTGGAGAGAAGGCTCAGAAATTAAGTTCACTTTCAGAGGTCGTGAGTTCAATTCCCAGCAAGCAGCTTACAGTCATCTATAATGAGAGCTGGTGCCTTCTTCTAGTCATGCTAACACAGGTCTGTCATCCAGTACTGCCATGGTGGAGGTAGGCGGAGGATCAGAAGCTCAGTCATCACTAGCTGTGTTGTGAGTTCAGACCCACCCTTATCCTTTTTAGAGCCTGCCTAAAAAGCAAAAGCCCTGTATATGATCCAAATTGAAAGTAAAGCTTATCACTTTTGCACCATGGTAAATTAAAATGTTCTATATTGCACCACAGTAAGTTGAAGATTGTCTATATAAAGAAAACACACATTTATGTCAACATTTACCTCACTTATCCCCACAGTCACCCTGTGTTTGCTTGTTTGCTGTGTGTAATTCTGATGCAAACACACACATACACACAATTTTTAACAAGCATAAAATTATAGCACACATATTATCCTGTAATTGTTTTTTTTTTACACTCTTAAAAATGTGTCAAGGTTTACACTCTTATTCTAGCATATAGGAATCCACTTGGTTATTTTTACCTGATGTATAATATTCTAGAATGTGTGTATGACATAATTGAACACTTTTATTATAGTCTGGGGGTGGGTTTTTAGGAAATGTGGCCATATGTAGTATCATGATGTTGGTGATAATTTCACGACTTCTCATGTATCCCCAAAGTCATACAGTTGTGATCTTTAGACTTGTGCATCTTCTTTCACTGCAGTCAGGCTTTGAATGAGTGTTTTACAAAATTCAAGAGTAGCTACAATTTTAACTGGTATGTAATCCCAGAATTTAAGATGTATAGCCAGGAACCTAGAGGATTGGGATTGAAGGTCATCTTCAGCTAAGTAGTGAGTCCAGTCAGAACTACATGAGACCCTGGCAACAACAAAGAACACTGAACTCTTTACTGAGGAACATTCTGGCTCTTTTTATGTGATATTTACACTCTTACATTAAAACAGTGGATATTCTTGAGCATATCTTGGTATGTTGTCATGAAGGTATCTACAAGCATTTTCCCTGATTTAGGACTGATATGTCAAGGGACATATAAAATTTCAAATTTGGTCAATATTGCCCATTTGTCAGTCCTATCAATGGTATGATATATGAGACTGTGCAGTGTTCTTTTATCTAGGATTTTACTGGAATGAAGACACTAACTTTAATTTAGTTTTCTTGCTAAAAGCCCCATTTCACATATCTCTCTTGTCATGTGAAGCATGAACCTCCTAGGACCCAATAGACAACCACAAATTCAAAACTGAAAATTTGAGGGACATTGATTTTTGCTGATTACACATCACTTTTGGTACCACAATGTCCAAAAAATGTTAGATGTATCATCTTCATTTGAATATAAAGGAAACACTTCATGCCCCCATCCCCAAATATCAATTTGCCTTACAGTGTGTTATAAAGGACCTAGAAGTCAGAGTACGTTTGTATGACCATTTCTATGATGCAATGCACTAGTGACTTGAAGGCCCTTGGATTTTACTGTCCATCCTGTGAAATTCAGATCATAATGTTTGCTGAAGTTAAACTGTTGTGGTTATTGTGTTGATTATATTATATGGTGAGATACAAAGGAGGTTTGTAATCTCAGAAATAGTATACACATTCCAAGGGGTCACTAAGGATATATTATTAAAACAGGGAGCTTCTAAGGAAGGGAGGAGCAGATAGTGGAGATTTGTGAGGAAAAAATTACACACAGTTGAAATATTAAACTTGTATAGTCTTTTCCTTACTCTACATTCTTGGAGAAGAAATCACACTGGTAATAAAGACTATCTTTGGGTACCAAGACTAACACAGGTTATCACCTTTTCACACTTGGGAAATCTTCTGTGCTGGGTATAGAGTCTTGTTTGAATGACATTAGTGTGATTCAATTTTTCAAGTACCTAATAGGATTTTGCCCTCCACTCCACAACACACACACACACACACACACACACACACACACACACACGCACGTGCACACCTTTAGTTTCTGTAATCACTGGGGAGAGAAGAAATACACACAAGAAACATTTAAATAACCATGTGAAGTGACTATATGAATAGCTCCCAGGTTATAGTGAGTGACTATATGAATAGCTCCCAAGTTATAGTGAGTGACTATATGAATAGCTCCCAAGTTATAGTGAGGTATATGTGGGGACTAGAGTGAAATCAAATACCTTTTAATTACAATTGAAATCAATACCCCGGAAACTGTAGTTGAATCATTACTATGAAAATCCAGTTAAGCCTCCTTTAAAAAAAAAATACTTTTTTAAAAAAGTATTTTGGTTTAAAATAACTGAAATAAATGGAATTTACAAATAAGATATGTGACCATTAAGCAAATGACATTTAGATTAGTATTTTTTTAGATTACTTGCACCATTATGTACAAAAAAAATCAATGTGATGTAGTTAGTTTTTTAACCCCAAAGTTAATTAAAAAGATATCTGCAAAGTAATTGTAAGCAGAATCATCCTGATTTCAACCTATTAATCAAGAACAGGGAAGGGAGTGTGTTTTGCATTAGAAGGCAACCACCAGGGTGTGTTTTAAAGGCTATTTAAAGGCTAAAACAACAGTTACCTTGTGTAGTTTTTCCTCATAAAGGCAGTGTCTATTTTCAGAACCATTAATGACATGTTTCATTTTTGTTAAGAATACACTTCAGCTTATTAGAAAACCCATGGACTTTGTACTCAGATTTAGATACAAATTTCTGCTCTACTACTTTCTACAGCCTCCACATAATACTCATATATGCATACATATGTATTTTTATTGAAGAAAAATGTTGCAATGCCATCCTTAAGAATAGTTTGAATTATGTTTACTCACTCTCTGTCATCTTCATCCCTGTTTTGTCATAAGTTGGTCAGTGTATTTTCAGTTTCAGTACCTAATATTAGTGAAAACGAATCAATACACACACACACACACACACACACACACACACACACCTACCTTTCCAGGTATCTGAAGAGTTATCTCTGGTTAATCCAGCTATCTTTTGTGTGACCCTTCCTCAGAGGGTCTGGAAAAAACATGCAACCAGTCTTAGTGTAAAAATACATTGTGTTGTCATTGTGAGAAAAATATGTGTTGTTTCTTATGATGTGATGAGAAAATTAAATCATAGGGACACTGGAAATAGTTACTATTCATTCTGGCCATTCATTTTTTTTTAGGAGGCATTTATCTTTATTTTTTAAAAGTTTAAAAGTAGAGGAGAAAATCTCCAGTAGCTCCACTATTTTAGCCTACCCATTAAAATGTTATCTTTGCTTCCTTTTGTGTTGGGAGGCATATTACACATCATTATAGTTCAAACACTCAATGAATTGTGCCGCCTATTGTCTCATTGCAGAGATTTGACATAATTTATATAATCTGCCAAAATTCTAAGAAGGGTGGCTTTGGGAGTAGGAAGTGATGATTTGTGAAAGTAGATTTTCCATGGCTTAGGACACCTGTCAAAATGTGAACCTTCTGTTAAAGATGGGAGAAATCCTTAAAGGTTTTAGAGAAAAGATGAATGAGGGGATCTGTGTGAAATCAATACACTCAGCTGGAAGTCAAATAATTATTTCTTTTGTATAATGCCGCCTGTTTTGAAATGTATGTTTCATGTGCAGAAGACTGTTTTCCCTGTCTAAATTACTACCTTTCTTAATTCCACTACATCTGCTCCTCTTAGTTTTCTATGTAACCGGCTAGGCTGACAGGTGGTGTCCCAAATCCAAACCATTTCCTCAAGAAAAGCTGCTCCTGTAGATGAATCCCCTGGCCTGAAAATACATCTCAAAGCCCAATGTTCTTAAGGGTGGCAAGCAAGAAAGATGCAGGAAATGTCCCCTCCCCACTCCTGTCTGGTGCCTCTTTCTCCATGGCTCCACCTTCCTCTTTAGACAATCCCGACAGTGTAGAAGTTTCCATCTCCTTTCCCTCTCCTTTCTCCCCCCCCTTCACTTTCTCCCCCCTCCTAGGGCGCTTCCTGCCTGGAAACAAAAGATTGGTCCCCAGTAGCCCACTCAGGGCGATTTTACTTTTATGCTCACCATCTGATTGGCCTAGGTACGGTGCAGAGCCCAGGTGACGTCATAGCAAAGAAGAGCTAGGGAGCGGTTGCTGAGCAAAGGGGCTCTGTATCAGGCAGGCAGCTTGTGGCCACAAACAGTTTGGGGTCTTACGCTGGGGCCTGCAGTTTTTCTCCTCTGGGAGTGAGAGCAGTGGGCGAGAGAAGAGCCGTGGGGGGAGCCGGCTGGGCCCGGGGCTGCGGCTACAGCCGCTGGGCTGCAGCTCCCCAGTCCGTGTCGGCGTGCTTGGAGGTACTGGAAAGGTCTTGGCAGGGTGGCTGGACCCTTGGCAGGTAAACCCCGCGACTTCTGTCCTGTACCGGGCTAGCTCGGGGTTGGGGAGGCTGCTGGGCAGATGTTCCTTGCTGTGTCCCCCTCCTGCTCCTTCCATTCCCCAGCGTTGACTCTTCTACGTGGCTCCCTTCCCCAAACCTTGGGACCCAGTGTTCAGCACTTGATTTGGTTTGCCTAGGCAGATGAGTGGGTGTTTCCGGGCTGGTCCTGAAGGACCTGGGCTTCTTCCCTTGGCCAAGCCCATGACTAGTTTATTGGGGCTTGGGCCGCCTGGGGCAAAATCCGCCCTAAAAGCTGTGTGAGACCGTGAGGCTCCTACCATCTCCCCCCAACCCCCAGCCACAGTGTTGACAGCAGCCCTCTAGAGAAGGGGAGGGGGTGTGGCCGCAGTCTAGCCAAGTCCGCATCAGAACGACCCAACTGAAACAGAAAAGTATCAATTTTCTTAAAAAAGAAGCCTTTCTTTCTTTTAAATTTTTCTTTATCCCCCCTCCCCTTTTCACATGGGGGATGGTAATGACAGGGGGACTTTTTCCCCCCTTCTTCTTCTTGTTCTGTGGGAACTGAATGGATTCAATAAGGTCCTTAGAAAAGCCTGGCGTCCCCCTGTTGGCCCTTGTCTTTGTCTGGGTAGTAGGGTCATTGGGTTTACTGCTTCATCCCTTCCCAGTCCCCTTTGGCTCCCAGGAGACACTGTCCTCAGTTTGTGACCTGGCACGATGACTGCCATACTTCTGAGTGAACAGAACATTTTGGATTGAGGCTCTGCAGGCTTTTCCTTTCTTTAGGTGGTGATTGAGAACAGGGTGAAGGTTGCGCGGGGGGGGGGGGGGGAGGTTCTCCCAAGGAGGGAACCAGGGGATCCATTAGGTTTTATTTGTTTGTTTGTTTTCTGGTCCCACCTTCCAGAATCCAGTTCCAGAGTATAGACTTGAGTTTTGGGGGGCTGCATAGGCTCTAGAAGTAAAGGAGAGAAGGGTGACTGGCTTGGCTTTGGGAAGCATGATGGGGGCGGTTGCAATACTATTGAAAAAAAGGGGGGGCTTTTACTAGGGAAGCCCTTAGCCATGTTAGTTTTGCTCCCCCTCACCCCATGGTTTTGCAGACTCAAATCCAGGCCAACTGTATGGTTGTCTGAGGTGTTGGAACAGAAGGAGGTCCATTCCTGTTGGTGACAGCACAGTGGCCCTTTTCTGGGATGAACCAGGTATAAAAGGTCAGTGTGGTTTTCACTGGGCCATTTGTAAAATTATAATTGGGCAGGACGTGGGATTTTGGCACTTCAGCTTCCAATCATGGGCACCTTCGGGTAAAGGGGCTCACTCTGGCGATGGAGGTAATGGATGATTAATAGTCTGGGACCTGGGAAGAGAGCCCAATAGCCCTCTTTTTCTGGATACAAACATCATGCTTCTCTGTGTCCATGCAACATGAAAACAGTCTGGGATGTATGCTGGGTTAAAGCTGACTGCTGGTAATCCAGAATCCTGACAAATCTCAGGATGTGAAGAAGCATTTTTTGAAGTTTCCCAGCAGACAGGTGAACATAGTAATAAGACTAGAAGAAATGGGCCACAACACCCGGTGGACATTCCAACTGGTTGATCATTCCTACAGGTTGTGTGTGTGTGTGGGGGGGTTGGGGGTTTGTTGGTTGATTTCCCCCCCCCTTGTTCAAAGGTGGCAGTATTGCACAGAGCAGACAAGTTTGCTCTGGGTTTGGAAAAGACTGGGTAGTAGGTTTGATAGATGAGTGAAATGGCAAATGACTGCAGAATGAAAGGGAATTGCTGGTAGAGATTCTGCTATGGTGAAGTCAAGACTAAGCACCAGGTCAAAGAGGATGACAATACCGAAGAAATTAGACTGAATAGGCAGGGGTGAATGGAGTGGGTAAAGAACTGTAGAGGGTGAAGAAAGATCTGGATCTTGCTAGGAGCTCGAGCCCCAGTTTTCCTGGTGACACAGTAAAAGAAAAGTTTTGGTAGTCAACTCAGCAATGACTCAATCAAGGATTGCAGTGGTCTTCTAGCAGTTTAGGGAATCAATAGCATTCCCAACTGCATAAGCCATTTTTAGGAACCAGTAACTTTAACCAAAGGGATGAGAAGACACTAAATGAGCAGCAGTCTTGAAAAAACAGTTCTTTTGGGATAAAGGGAAGGAACAGGGGATGAAGGCTGGAAATAAAACAGGGAGCTATAGTCTGAGACTAAAGTCTGACTGCTTTTTATGGGTGAAGTAGGCCCCCCGGGGGCGGGGGATGTGCTGGGACCTTGTGTCCACCAAGGCCAATAGAAAACCTTTACCATGGAAAGTAAGTGTGACATTCTAGCCCTCTGGAGCACAGTTTAAGTCTTAGCTGAGCCTCCCCCACACCCACCCACATGCACAACCCACACCTGTCAGAAGCTCAGTAGTTCCCTTTGCAGGGCCAGGGTAAACTTCCAGGCCAAATTCGAACTAAATAGCTTTGCCAGCAGGGGGCGGAAAAGTAACTGTAGTGATGTGGAGGACCCAAGTCCTCCATTTCAGGTGTGAAGCCAGAGCTTCGTTTCAACTAACAGCCATAAATTTACAATCTGATTTAGCAGTGCCAGAGAACTAAATGAACCTCCAGGTCAATGTGTTCCCATTTCTTCCCAGAAATGTGGTGCTGCCTACCGCGCTCGGCAGCGTGGGAAGGTACATGCATTTACTTGTGATTACTTGAGTCACTAATACACACAGTCTAACCGGGAGCTTAATTAGAAATGTTAATCAATGCAATAGATCCATGTCTGATTTGCACATTCGGTCAATTATCTGCACGTTGGGACAATCTGTGCTGTGCTCAGGGGATGAAACGAGGGGGTAAAATGCTACAGCTACAGATGGGACTGGGGTTGGGAAGCAAAAGAGGGGAAGTGGACCTTGAAGACTACGAAGAAATTAACAATTTACTCGTGGGGAAAAGAATCATCTCAAACATATTTTCACAGAGAGGCTGGATCATGAGGTGGTTGGTCCAGAAGCTCACAGAGCTGAAGGGGAGACAAGATTTTCTGTGTGGTAGAAGGGGGTGGATTTAGAGAAAAGATTGGGGGGGGTGAAGTGGAAGGTGGGATAGCATGAACCTTGGAAATCAGAAATCGGGTGTTATTGGCTGAATGCATGTGGTCCTCAGTGCCTGTTTCCTTTACCTTCAAACAATGGAGTTAGACTAGGTATTCTCTAATCTGATGGGAACATTAGGAAGTGGACCCTTTTTATACTTGGTAGTTCAGAGAGCCACTAAAGTACAGTCCTGAAACAAAAGAAAATAGCCTATCTATATCACTTTCCATTTTGTAACCTCTCCAGTTTAGGGAAAGCCAATGCAAAAGAGATAGCCACACACTTCGTCTTTTAGCCGCATGACTTCACTTTTATTTCATGTGAATAGGGAACATGAGGACAAGAATTCCAATTCTGTATTTTTTGGGTTACCTATAACTAAACCCCAGAAAAACTCTTGTGTAGTAGTTTTCATAGACAAATCATAGGGAGGAGCACTGAGACTCACTACTATTTTAACCCCCTAATGCAGTCCCCAAACAGAAAGGTATTGTGGTGAAGATAAAGATAAATAAAAACAGGGGGTGGTTTGGCAGGGGGCAGCTTCTTTTCCCTTATCTCTATCAGAGAGATCCTTGTGAATTCTTTAGAATTCTGCACCCTAAACTGACCATTATTTCTGACAGCGCAATATCGCCCCCTAGTGACTATACTTGAGACAAGTTTCTCAGCTTCCCATTGCCTGGATGCCAGTACTCTGAGATAGCTTCTACAAGCCTGGCAAGCAAAGGTGCACTCATTCTATCAAGACTGAAGGAGAAACTCAGGAATATGCAGCTTTCTTCCTAGCATTCTTCTCCAGTGTGAGCCGGTTTAAATTGAGGAACATCACTCTCTTCTCCCTGTGCTTTATCTTCTTTGGGTCTGAAGAAAGGCCTAGGAGATTTCCCCAGAAATATGTAACGCTGCATAAGACATTTGCCATGAATGTTTCTGGAGAAGAGAGCACAATTTGCACAACTTCCTTTGATCTCCATCCCACGGTGATCATTTTAGTCCTTAGACAGAGATTTTAGGGGAAAAAAACTGAAATGCAGCAAGGAAAGAGAAGTTAGGTATGCATAAAATATACGCATCCATACCTCCCCAGCTTCCAACAAGAGGACAGGCAGAAAGCAAGGGCTGTGTAAATGCACAGTATAATACAGCTATGCAACACTCACTGCTCAATACAGGTGGAAGACATGGCATAGACATGCACGATGCACACTACACATTAGACACATGGCATATGTATATGCATGTAACATGTATGGTAGAGATGCTATAACATGTAACACATTACAGAAATAAAATGCATGTACAGCAGCATACTGACAAGATAAGCATTTATGATGTGATATAAACACAGCACTGCACATAAAACACAATGCAGGTTCAGGACAAATACAAAATAGTATAGATATAACACAACACATACAGATATAACAGTGCAAGGAACAGCACAGATATACGTGAACCAGCTTTTTCTCATATACAAAATATGCTATACTCAAAATATACCCCAGTGGGCAAGTGGTGTTGCCACCTGGTGACCTACCAATTGCTTCTGCACTGGTTCAAGCTACACAACTGGTGGGTTCAAGGTAGACTACCATGAAGTTACTATTTGATGTTCCAAATGAGGGAATGTCATCATTAGGAATGGGCTACATCTGACCCTCCTCACATTTTGTCCCTTTTGGAGTTCTGACAGCTCTTTCCTCCCTACCTCATTTCACCTTCTAGCAAAGTGAGCTTCTTCAGAAAGGGAGGAGGCAGTATCACTCAGTGATGCCGTGGGAGGGCTTTGGAAAGCCACTAGGGCTATGTCTGTGGGAAAAACACATGGATGCTATGATGCTAGGAGACAGTTGTGATCTAGAATCTGTACCAGAGGGAGACAAAGACCCAGGACATGACATTATCATTTTTGTTTAAGAAGTGAAATTGGAGCTCATGGGACTTTTTCTTGGCTTCCCAAGACTTCAATTTTGCTTTATGTGCAAATATCCATCAATCTACTCCTTTGGGTTAGAACTCTGTATTTAGTTGTACTCTAGTAACTGGGTGCTAGCCTGGGTCATACTGTATTTTAATTAGCATGTAGTTATGGCTTTCCTTGTAGGAACAATGTGATTGCAGGGGTGAGGTGTTGGGGAGAAGTAAGTAGAAGTTGTAGAGCTTGGAGTTGTACAAAGGGGAAAAATCAGCCTTTCCCTGAAGACTCAAATCAATGTGGGAAAATGCAGAAAGTGGAGGGGTTAAAGGGACCTTGTCTCTGGAAGAAGGTAGAGCTGGATGTTAGAGCAACTGCCTAGCATGCAAGACACCATGGTTCTGGATTCTATCATCAGCATGAGATGGGGAAGAGGGGGAAGAGAGGTAAAGAGAGAGATCTTGTTTCCATCACAACTAGATATAGAAACCTCTGTGAGGCAAACAAGGTAAATTGTCATCAAAATAAAACAAATTGAATGATCCAACTTGGGAAATTTTCAAAAAGCTGTAGAAAACATTTCTTTGGTTAAGACAGGCTGGAAGGTTCAGTTAAGGGTCCGAGGTTTAGAAACTCCATAGCTGTGAGGCAAAAGGAGACGTAGCATGTTCTTGCCTGAGAAACTCTCTTTCCCTGATACCTACCTAAAGAAAGAGGTTTAGTGATCAAAGGAGGTGAAACGAAGGTAGAGACTTGGAATTGAGGGAAGAAAGAACCGAACAATAGTGGTAGTTTGCTAGACAATGCAGATATTCTCAGTGGGTATTACCTCTATTGACTACTCTACACTGGGACTGTGCCATCTCTGATAAATATTCGATTTTACCCCTAATTCTGAAATTGTGTAGATTTTTCACATGCATCTTATTTGATTTAACCCTCCCAACCTTTGTCCAAAATAACTAAGGGAAAAGAAATTTTACAGCTGATAACAAGTGGCTAGATCCAGAGTTGTGAGATGGCAAGCACTGTACTCCCATGTCCTAACTCCCAGTTCAGTGCCCTTTCCAAAATCCTATATAAAAAATACATGTTTTAATATTTGATTTACTAGTCTTCTTAAATGATATTCTGAAATATCCCATTTTAGCGTGTGTGTGTGTGTAACATATATGGGGGGAGGATGAGGGAGTAGTAGCAGG